AAGATCAATGTCTTCTTTTTGAAGCTGAGCGAGTTTAAGAAGGTCGATTCCTTGGAAACTGTTCAAGGAGCTAATTCGAGACAAGGCGTCTGCGACTACATTGTTTGCTCCAGAAATATGTTGTATGTCTGAAGTAAACTGCGAAATGTAGTCGAGTTGTCGAGACTCTCGCGGTGAGTTCTTGTCTGAAAATGAAGTTAAAGAGAAGGTAAGAGGTTTGTGATCGGTAAAAAGCTTGAATTCTCTTCCTTCGATGGAATGTTGGAAATGCTGTACAGCACATTACATAGCTAGGAGTTCCCTACCGAACGTGCTGTACCTAGATTTCGCGTCTAGCAACCGTCTCGAGAAAAATCCTAAAGGTTGCGATGAGTTATTAACCTATTGTTGTAAGACTCCTCCGATTGCTTAGTCGGATGCGTCTACGACGATAATAATGGGCGCTTGAGTGTCCTGATGAGCAAGCAAGGTTGCTTTAGCGATGTGTTCCTTAACTGTGGAGAATGCTTTACGGGCTGTGTCGTCTAAACTAATTGATTTCGCATTTCCACGAAGCTGATCGGTTAACGGTTTCATAAGGGATGCACATTTGGGTATGAACCGTCTATAGAAACTTACAAGTCCGTTAAAAGTTCGCAACTGCTTGATCGTTGTCGGTTCTGGGTAATCCAGAATGGCCGCCACTTTGCTTCTAAGGGGTCGGATGCCTTGGGCATCAATGGTGTGTCCTAAGAAGTCTAAGGAGTTGGTTCCGATTTGGCATTTCTGAATGTAATGCCATGCCTTTGGAGTCGATCGAAAATAATGTCCAGATGCTTGAGATGTGATTCTTTGTCCGGACTTGCTATTAGACAGTCATCAACATACGCATGTACGAAGTTGAGACGTCGGAAGACGTCGTCTATAAACCTTTGGAAGGTTTGAGCCGTATTTCTTAAACCAAAAGGCATTCGCAAGAATTCGTAAAGATCGAAAGGAGTGATGATGGCGGTTTTGGGAATGTCGTCGGTTGCCATCGGTATTTGATTATAAGCCTTAACTAAGTCGATTTTCGAAAAGACAGTTGTACCTTTCAAGGTAGCTGTCAAATCGTGAATATGAGGCAACGGGTAACTATCGTGAATGGTTTTAGCATTCAGACGCCGATAGTCACCAGTTGGCCGCCAATCGTTGCTGTCATTTTTAGGGACCATGTGCAATGGTGATGACCATGGACTATTCGATGGTCGAATTATCCCTAAGTCTATCATATGGTCGAATCCGTTTTTGGCTAACCTAAGTTTTTCGGGAGCAAGTCGGCGGGCTTTCGAGAATACAAGTGGTCCCGTAGTCGAGATGTGATGTGTAACATTGCTGGTTACACAAGGCAATTTCGATTGTGGTTGGTATATCCCTGAGTATTTGTCGAGTAATCATTGGTACAAGGGATCTATAGTGTGCTTAATCGTGACTGGGGATAACCTGCAACCAGAACAAGGAGTTACACAAACAGATAACTTAATGTTTCCGTCTATTAATCTTCGTGAGCGTGTGTCGATGAGTAGATTGTGGTGTTGTAACAGGTCTATACCAATGATTGGCATAGAGACATCTGCAACCACGTAAATCCAGTGTATGGGTTTGCGTAAACCCACGTTAAGGTAGACGTACCTTTTACCGTAGGTAGCGGTCGGTTTTCCGCTTGCCGCCTCTAAACTTAAAACAGACTCGCGAAGTCTGTCGTTGGAGTTCGTGGGAAGAACGCTAATTTCTGCGCCGGTGTCGACGAGGTAGCGAACTTTCATAGTCACATCAGTGATATATAAAAAGCGGCTGTGTTCGCTGGCTACGGTTGCCGTTAACGCGTGCCGGCTGGGAAGTTTCCCGAAATCTTATTCGTGTCACTCGATTTCGGGGTCGGATAATTGCCGGGTTACCTGCAATTTCTGGAAGACTTACCGTACTGGTTATGATACCAGCACCAGTCGGGATTGTCTGTCTCTCGTGGTCGAGAGCCAGATCGCCTACGTGAAACACATCTACGCGGCTTTTTGACCGACTACGGTCATTTCGAACTCTAAGATAATGTGTAAGCGTGTGACATAGTTCGGCTATGTCAGTCGGGGTCGATCGAGGTTTTTCTTTGACGGAAAAAACCTCGGCCTTAGAAGATTTAATGATTTCTAAGATTCGGTCGGCAGATGCAGCCAGCTCGTCTATGGCGTTGTTTTGAAACGAGACGAACACTGCATGCACCTGTTGAGGAAGTTTAGACAAGAAAAGTTGCCTGGATAGGCCATCATCGAAAGTTCGTTGGCCGATAACCTCTCTCATTCCTAGCAACATGTCTGTCGCAGAACCATGTTGCAAGTCGATAATGATAAGGAGCTGGTCTAACCGTTGTCGATCAGTTAGATCTCCGCGTTTTAAAATCGACCGTTTGAGAGTTTCGTAAGGTTCGAGAACATCACTAGTAAACATACTAGGTGTTACGTACCTGTTAAACTCGCTCGGTAACGCCTTAACTACCGCGAGAAATCGAGTGCGCGAGTCCGTGATTCCGTGCATGCAAAAATCAGCTTCTGCGTAGCAGAACCAGGACTCGATATTGTCTGGCCAAAATGGCGTTAACTGAATCGAAATAGGGGGAATAGACTTTAACTTAAAAACCTTGAGTGAGTGTTCCGTCATAGTAATGTAGATAACGAAAAATGTCTAATTAAAATATATCCGAGAAAAAATAGCGAAAAAAAGTATATCACAATATATAAATTCAAATAAAGAATAACAATGATAATAATATTCCAAAATGGAACGGACTTACAGGTTATTGGCTTGGTGTACCAGATCACGTCGGTCTCACCACTGAAGATACGACGGATATTCTAGCTTAACAACTAGCTACCAGTAGCACCTTCTATAATCGAAACCTTTTTGGACAAATAGAAACCAGAAGTCAGACGAGAAGAGGTAGGAAAGATATATTTCATACGTTACCAATATATCGAGGAACCTTTATTATAAGCTGGCTAATGATCGTAGGAGCAGTGTCCCACGCCGAGTTGAAACGTGATCTGATACGGATGCATGGCCGAAAGCCTCCAGTTAAACAACGTGGTCAGCATCCAATGTCGAACACTTAGAAAGCTATTGATTTCGGGGAATTATTAACAGCTACAATATATTTAACAGGCTATAGATATATCGAGAAGGGACTTACCTAAGCTGACTAGCGGTTGTAAGAGAAGTTGAGCACGGTCTACTCACTCATGATCTTGTGTGGATGCATGACCGATCTCCTTTAGCTAGATGAGTTCAGCAAAACTAATGTGGTCAGTATCAAATGTCGAGAACTTACACAGCTATTGATTTCGGGGATTTATTTACGGTTACAGGTTGAAAACAAATAGTCTTTTCCTAATGTTTCCACGTCCTTCATCTCCTTTTTGTCTTTGCTCTTACGCTCGGTCAACCTAGCACTTCAAGTATTAGTTCGCGAAACCACCTGAATGATGCTAGATCGCCGTTAGTGAGACTTATGAAATGGAGTTTCTTGTCTTTAGTGTATGGTCAAATCACAAATGAGACGGCTTAGATATGTCAGACAAGTGCTTAAGGTACATTAATCAGCCGCTGACGAAGTGTCAAGCTTTAGCGCTTTCACACAAACTGTAGGACAATCAGCTTGTTCGTAGTAGCAAGTCACCGATGAAACCGTCACTTGATATTGGACCATTTAATACCGCGAACTTTTTTTTGGTCCAAGTGTCTACTACGCCTCTTATTTTCAGACAGGAAGTGTTTACCAGTTATACAATCACTAAAATTTGGGTCAATTTGAAGGATTACTGGGTAGGAATAGATTTTTGGATTATCTACTTAGTTTGGTATTCATATAAATACGAAGTACATCACTAGGCACAATAAGTGTAGTACGTCTTGTTAAATTTTGTAGAAAACCTATATATTAGGTTATTATCTACTTGTTCGTGTTTACATAACGGCATTTTATCAGCCGTTCGCCTATGGCGTCCTACACTTTGGTCACTTCAGAAAAACGGGTTTAAAACATGTTCGATCCTACAAACACACGAACGTCCCAATATTACGGTCATATTTCACTTATAAGCTCCCTATGATGAGGTGGAAGGATATCACTCTGAGTAATGAATAATTAGGTTCAAACAATCTTGTTACGTAAATTTGTGTTCACTCAAGTCTCAGTAAGCTTGATAAGCTAAAATTGGCTCCTTAAATGGATTATTCTAGACATGTCCTGTTAATGGTTCAGGTGTGGAAATAATTTAAAGTTACATGTTTAAGTACCTGTGCAACTTCAGTTTTGAAATGTTAGAAAGTTTACTAATCATCTTAAAAACCAAGATGTAATCCTGATCTAGAAAGACTTCCAAGATTCTGACTTAGTGATTTGATCTCTAGTCGTCCGTTTCTTTAAACAGAACTGCAACAGGCTTGTTAAACCGTAATGTTGGTGTAGAATTCCAGTCTACTAGGGTGATACATTAGTCGAGGTAGTAAATTTGGACAAACGTCAGGCCATTGAAGCACGTAGCATAAACCTTAAAAAATTTACAGTGAGTTAGATCAGTAATCTGCAGTCACTTGCTGATCGTAGTCATTAGTATACTAGTAGGTGAAGTCCATTAAAAACAGCTTAAATACGTTCACAAGGTTATGAATACACTTTATATTCACATTATCCATATCGTGAAAATACTTATTACTATGTGTACGTTTTTGTGTTCAGTTTAGTACTATGCCTGTCGGTTAGATCTGTGCAAAACCTAACACCTGAAAGTAATGCAATTTTGTGCGAGACTCTGTAATTTTGTGTGAATTATAAGATTTCGTAGAGTTAGTCTCATAAATAGTATAGAAGAAATTTTGCGTCATTTAAGAAAATGTTACTTAGTAATTTAACGTATTTCTTTTTTAGAAGCCTGAGGATTATCCAGTAGCAAGATAATTCACTTCGTGTTTGAGTATCTCACTCCAAAACAATGAATATCTTACCAAAAAAAAGGTAATGCTTTTTTTATATACCATTGCTTAACAGATGGCATGTTTTGAAAAAAGAGAACATTGCTCGGGTGAGGTCAGATGAGGCAAAATATGAGGAGGAGCGAAGAAAAATTGAATTTAAAGCACAGCTTGCTGTAAGGCACCTCAGAATCTTCGATTGACTTTGTACGTTTAGGATCAGGAAGCACGAATAGATTATTTAAGAAGGCAAAAAAGTAACCTAACATCTGGCTCGGGATCAGATGGGTTCCAGATAACTCTAACAAAAGATAGTGTCGTAAGTTGCGGATCGCAATAATCGGATAGCCAAAAGCTGGATGTTTCACAAGGAAACGCAGAATACGAAAGTGAAAAGAAGATCGAACAGGAGAAGAAAGAGAAAACAGTTGGGATTTTGACCTATTTAGGCCAAACTGTTCTTGATGCTGCCGGTGAAAAGCCGTGGTATGATGTGCACCCTCGAACCCATCAGCATCGTGAAAGCGAACGAAGAAAGTAAGCGCTATGGCATTTGGTGATCAATCAATAGAAACAAAGAAGAACTGGAAATAAAAAAGAAAACATTGGCTGACCCATTAACAGAAATGAAGAAGGTTGAGGAGATGTTCAAACGCAACAAGGAACTAAAAAGACAGAGCGAAGCAGCTGAACTCGAACGTGCCAGTGCTTGCATTCATGCTATGCCAAACTTATTTCCTGATGACATAATGGTACCAAAGTGCCCATACAAAGAGGTTTGTTTAGGTTTAGTTCTACTTTGCTGTTTTTAAGCTTATATATTCATGCAATTGGTGAGTTAATCTGTCATTTTGCTGTCAGCAGGGACTGGAAACTATCATCATTATGTAAAAAGCTGCTTTTAGCCATTGGTATTTATCTACAGCATGGAAGACGATTGAAAGCATTGTTTCATTGATTACAAAGGCTCACTGTGCTCTGCATTGCAATCGATAACTGGTTTGATAACTTAAATTTCAGTAGCAGTAATTTTTAGCCAACGGTCAGTTAATCTAAGGACTCAAATACTGGATCGCTTGAGGCACTTCGGATTTGGAAGCTGAGTAGTATATCAAACCACAAAACTCAATGCTTGGTCAACTAAGCCATCATTTGCAGTATTTGTTAAGTAAAACACTAGAACGCTGTACATTACACCCACCGTTTAAAGTAAATGAGTCGGGAACAAAGCAGGACAGCCACAGACATCCACGCATTTTGTAAATCATGTAAATTCCAATGATGTTGGAATTTAGTACAGTTCTTATGCATTACTGTGGGGAGTTTGGGCATGCTCGACGAAACTCCTGAGTATTTTCATGGCGATGATATCGTTTATGCAAAATTTAGAGAAGTTAGTTTGATGCGGTCCCACTTGCTTCACCATTGCGACAAACATTGTAGATCCGCACTGGTTTTGTAGTACATACTAATGGTTATTACATATTTTCTTACTCGCGTATTGCAGTGGATATTCGCGTAATTTAAAACTTGTGTGACTATGAAATTCATTCCGGAAAACATTTGTCATGGTATATTCAGTTCGTTACATATATGCAGTCCGATTGCGAATATCGCGCATATTTGTGGTGTTAATATTATCTACTGTTTGATCAATATTTGCAACGGTGTGCTGCTATAGTAAAACTTTTCTTTCGTATAGGCTTCGAAAAGTCGGCGAACAGGAAGTAGGTATAGTCAATCACTTACTGAAACTTCGTGTAATTCATTTGGGGGGCTAACGAAAGATTTATCCACAGAGGTTTCTCTGAGTCCCGAAAGTATGGATAAAAAATCACATTTGATTGAAATGGCCAAGAGTTCAGACATTAATCGTCTTCGAGCTGAGAGACTGCAACGAGAACGAAAGGAAAGAGACAGGGCAGCAGTTTTACTGGCTAAATCTTTTGGTCTGGATGCTTTAAAACCTCCAGATCAAGAGCAATCGTATGTGGACGAACGAAGTCTGCCCTTTAATTCTGCATTTAATCCCGAACTGTCAGCTATCCTGGCTGAACGACGCCAACGACATCGTGAGTCTAGAAAGCGGAGTTACAAAGAGGTGGATTAAATCTTTGCAAACGGTGATTTTCCAAACTGTACATATTGTGTATTTTATTTTCACAAGTGGTTTGAAAACTATTGGAATCTGTTATGTGTAAGTAGATATAGTCGTTCGGCCAAAACTTTTAGTTATCGTTTTTGACTGCCTTCAAAATATAACTACCCTTCAATTGTGCTTTTCATTTGTTTTCTGGAATTATTAAGGCTGATACAAGTATAAACAAATTGTAGTCTGATGATTTTAGTGTCGTCATACTTAACACTTGATCAACTTATTTATCAGTTGAACAGCACCTAGTACAGCTTGTTATTCCATAACAAACTAACAACTACATATACAGTGTTGGTAAGCATTCCAAATAAAATACTTATGAGTAGTCATTGTTTTCTTTGGTAAACAAAGGAAAGTGTAAGCTATCTTGAAAGAGATTAGGTGGAGATTAATAAGTCAAGAGGAATTTAACTGTACATGGTTCTATCATTATTTACGAAATAATTAATAACTTGTTGTTAAGCATTTCTTATTTGCAACTAGTGACAATTTCAAATGCATATTGAGTGCCAATTGCTTATCGAGGGTATGATCACTGGGACTCTTCGTTGAAATTGTCCGACATGTTTCCAGTAGCAGTTTACGGACTCACTCAAGTGGAAGAGATATAGTCTAACAAGGTCTATTTGTAAGACTAGAAGCAGTTTCTTACAAGTCCTCAGATATCTAAAGAGTAAACTGTGTCTATCATTTTTAGGGTTAATCGTTACTTGGAAATAGGTCATCTTTAGTGATGATGATCTATACGATACTTAGTACTGTTGCCTTTCTTGTGTACAGTCAACACTACGGTTTCACTATCAGACGTTAGATTTGCAACTTTCTATCAAAAATCTGTTGGTATTGTTAACTTAGGATCCGAAATACGTTGTTAGGTCAGGGAGAAGCGAGGATGTACTCAAATCAAAGCAGAAAAAGTAAGGAGCGTTACTATTGCTCGATGGTGATTGATTTCACACTTAGATATAGTGCCGTGGGGTATATGTGCAACTATTGTTCACAATGTTCAAGAGTGAGTTGTGTAAGACAGTACTCAGTTTTTTCGGATGGAAACTTGAAGTGTTAGGACCTCTGATAAGACAGTAGGGGAGTATTGGTGGAAATCTCAGGAGAATCAAATTACATTCAAGTCTACTCAGTCACACATATTAATTAATTCAGCCATCCATTCCAAAAATTTACCTAATTGGGTAATCGTCAATTTGCACAAAACCGCAGTAAATTTATTAATACAATGAAATCGGTTAACTGATTGCACATTGAATAAAGCGATGCAAATGAACGCAAACTGAAAGTCAAGGAACGAATTTCTTCTTAAAGAATTTTGAGATTGATTTACTCCTAAATTTAGTGTTTGGGGATTCAGTATCTCCAGGACTAGGTCGAACAGTATAGTTAAAATGATAGGAGGCGGTTCCGAAACTTTAGAGAGGGAGAATGCAGATTATTCACAATGAAGTAAACTCTTTTTTTATTCTGCGGTTCTCTCCTGCTTGGTGTCGCAAACTAGGCTAATGTAACTTAGTTTGACTACACATTCTACTAGTTCGTCATATTACATCTTTTAATTAGATAACTAAAAATATGTTCACGATGAGCTACATAAACTTTATAATGCGGCGAAAATCTAGTCAGGATATAAATTTCCTCGTAATCGGAAAATGATAGCTGAGATATAAACGAGTTTAGTTAGGTTTAACTGAGACCTGTTAAAATAGCGCAAATGAGGTATAGTTCATATATACAAGAAGATAAGTATTCGAAACCAAATGAATATCCAAGTGGGCAGTTATAGTACTAGAGGTGGAACGCTTGATAAGCTGGTTTTTAACTCAACTAAACATAATTGACCTAAACCGGTTAGTAGTATAGAAAATCAACTTGGGTTAAGAATAAAAAAATAATTTGCACAACACAGAATATTAAAAGTACAAATATTGGAATGGAACTACAAAGTTAGTGAAGTCTTCGAATGACAAACATTCGTAGTGTGAACTACTATTAGGCACAGGTAGCCAAACGGATACTGTAAGATTACTTCACATGTACTCAGAAGTTTAAGGAAACAGGGAACACCGTCTCGAACTATATACACTCTTAAAGTGCAATATGCTACAATTTCTTTAAAAAGTTTAAACAGTCATCAGGGATATCAATACCCTGGATAATGCTATCTATTGGGAATACTTGTTCGATTATAGAAGTCAAACATTTGCTCAGTTGGAACATTGTAGGTCGCACCATGGGATTTACAGCCCAACCACTGAAAAAAGAGAAGGGTCAAAAGTCAGAAAACTTAGTTCCGAAATAACGTAGATCGATATCTTATTATAACGAGTAAACTCTATGAAGTAAAAACATACATAGCAACTGATCTTTAAAATAATTGTAGCCCCGAGATGGCTCCTTTGCATTGCACACGCTTGAGCAAAACGTCATCTATATAGGTTTCTGTAGACATCATAAGTAAAGATACTGTAGCAAGTCTGAGGTGACATTATTGACTAATTAGGGAGAGATTATTAAAGGGAGCTAAGGTGTGTATGCAAACGTTGCTCTAAACCAAAAGTACGTTTGATGTAAAGATATGATGGGCTCCATATAAAAATATAAGAATAAACTTCGCAGAAACCAATTAAAATTTCTGTGCCTATATCAACATTTCGTACCTTAATTCATCGCTCTGAAAAGCGAAATAATGAAAAAGGTCATTTACAATTAGAGCAATTTATTAACTATTCTAAAGCACTTTGAATATTTCTAGTTCATTATTTTAGGAATGACAGGTAGATTCTACTAGCTGAGTAAGGTAACGACTAACACTTTTGCAAGGCATGAAGTAGTAGCTCGAAGTCCAGACGCTAATATTCTACTTAAGTGATGAAATTCGGAGATCCTATTAATCGAAAAGGATTTTAGACAAAACTACGTGAAAATATTCTGAAAAGCAATCTTGTCAATGCTCAACTCTCTGAGGAAACACGAACAATGAGTAAACATGATAATGTAATATAAAGATTTGAATACTACGTTATATAGTGTAAATGATAACAGTGAGCGGATGTGTATCTTCCACAGAATTAGCACAAATAAAGGGGTGAAAACGTAATCATATTGGATGACAGTGTGAATGAGGTAAGATAGGACGTTTCTGTCAAAACAAATAAAGGTATTAGTGAAAGTGCCCCCAAATGCCCTGGTACGGCCGAGAGTGGGGAGAGTCACCTCTCCCTCTCGAAATACTCTCATATGGCCAGCGAATATATAGCCTCTGCCAGGGAAGTCCTACTCACTGCATTCTCGTGCCACGGGTGTTGTTTACGAAAAGTGAATGTCCGGCGCTTTAACCGGGTTGGTGGACACAGAGTCCACCTAGGGGAGTTGGAAAACCCTGATTCCAAACCATGGTGCACATGGGCTCCAGTATCCTGATGGAACGAATGGCGAATGAACCTGCTGTTGGTCAACGACTACCATGGGACTGCATCTCCTCACGATGCTCCACTACCTTGTGGATCAGACATTCAGGTCAAAGGCTCCGGGTGTGGCCCCCTAAGAAAACCACCTGCTTCAGTCTGGGCACCTGGGCAGTATCACAGCCCTCACACAAATCGAATGAGATTTGTGAGGCGCATATTTATCTGGTGCTTCATTGTACCAATATTTATGTGTTTAAATAAATAAATAATTAGTGAAAGTGATGTCAGAAACGATCTCGAATAAAATCATAGAGGTATGAGAACTAATTGGAGAAAGGGTAGTATTTTCGAATGGAAAATCAATTAAATGAAAATAACAGATTAAGGCCACAATAAAGACAGAAAGGAGACATGTTTTTTGTACACAAACTTCAGACTTCATCCCACGGATAGAAGGAACGTCTACTGTTTTAAGGAGTTGGGTATGAAGTCTTGGTAGATTTGGAAGGATTCTATAAACAATATATGACTCAGTTGAGTGGTAACAGTTTGCTAAGTGTCCGAGGATAAAATGTCGAATTGACTTGCTCTGGTTGTTGTAAGACCCAGCTTTGACTATCAATATTGAAAGCGGATGCTGACTGTTTATGCACCTTGCTTCACAGAAGCAGGTACAGAGTTGAACCTTTTCTCTTTCTTTCCCTTCTACTATGTATATACGACTGTACAACTTGGTGAGGAATTCGGCGAAAGCAGATTGCTTCTCTGGATGTTGTATCTTCAATGTCTAAGAACAGAGTTACCATCATACCTTTTTCTAGGCGATGTTTTGATTACTACTAACACGATTTAGTGTAGCTTTATAAACAGTTCACCAAGTAAACTTTATGAACTCAGCTTTAAGCCACACTATTATTAAGTGCTTTAACAATTAGATAGCTTATGTGGAAGGTATGCATAACATACCTTAGTTATCAAAAGTTTGCCAAGTTGTTAAATGAACTAAAATATCTACATCAGCATCACAGAACAGTGACTGTTACTAGTATTTTTAGTTGCAACTACATCCCATCAACTAGTTCCTGAATCACATGCATTGATATGATCCTTCCTAATTAGAAACTAAAATATCTAGACAAACACTACTCGGTTTCGAAATAACGGGGCGAGTAGCGTGAAAATATAGCTTTTGAGGCTATCATACGAAGGATTATTACTTATACTTTTGTATGCTTAGTAGACGCTTGGATCTTTGTATTTTTATATTTGCCTATTTCTAAACTTCACGTTGATCTATAAATCGTTGCTATAGGTCATCAGTCCTACACGGGATTACAGACGAGCCAATCAATATTCGGATTAGATAATAAAACGGCGCGATCATACAAGCTCCAATATAAAACAGGAATTTGTTTTGTTTGGCGTCGCACTAGCTTTTCCCAGTGAAGCCTTATAATTTTTAGATATTTTTTTGCTAAATTAACTAACTTGCTTATACTTCATACTATAACTGATTCTGTAAATCGTAACACACTA